TGCCCAGGGGACAAAGTTGGACTCCACCCCCCCCAAAGTAATTAAAAAAAAAAAAGGAAGAAGAAATAAAGTGGGTTAACAATAATGGATAATCACCATACATTCTGACTCTTTCAAAATACAAGAACCTACATTTAAAGACTCTCTGCATTTGAGTGACATCAGCTGGAGAAAAGTACACTTCTGTATACAGAGGCCTGCGACAAGACAGGACTGGCAGTGGCATGCAGTAAACCTCGGCCACTCAGGTGCTGGGACTGGCAAAGTGTTATGACCACAACCTTCTAGGATGACTCCATGTATTATTATTATTGGGTCCATCTTCAAGGTTTTCCTTTTCACTTTGAAGGTGAAAACAGAAAAGTTTCTCCAATATGTTCACTCCTACAAAATTACATGTAACCCATCCCAGATAACTCTACTCTTCAACTATGTCATAGCAATTCTGAAGTTCAGGTTCATTTCAAGATAATAAAGGTAAAGTTATCCCTGTAATAGGCCGCAGAGGCCCACAGGGTTGTCTCATGTTGAGGCTTCCACATTTTCTAGACAATTGGCTCACAGATGGCAGAGAGGTTGTCAGCCATAAGTGCCAGCTGGCCACCCTTTACCCTCAGGAAGATTCCTGGTACTCATTTCTGTTAGAAGCTGAGTCGACCCCAGGGACTCAACTGAAAAATCCGATGACCTCATCGAGAATGCACCTACAACCTTCCAGCTCATAGCACAGTGCCTCAACCATGCTACCGTGTGGCCCTCATTTCAAGATAATACATGACACATAACTAACTCAATGGAGCTGACTCCTTTCTGAGAGACTAACAACAGCTGCTCAGCTAGTCAGGAAATTCCCCACTTTATGTGAAACATGAAGCTACCTTAGAGTCGGTCACAACTTGCCAACCTTCAGATCTGAGAGGCTGTAGAGCTGGGCACTCATTTACAATATCTGTGCCATAAACCAAAGAAGNTTCACTGCTCAAATACTAAACAACCTGCACCCATGGCCGAGATACAGGGCTCCCATATTATAAGGTAAGGTTATAAAACCACAATTTAAGATCATTTTAGTGAAAGTTTCATGTTCCTATCTCATAGAATTTAAGAACAATGATGAATAAATAATTTTCGAGCAAAATTTAAATGGCCGGCTGAATATATTACCGCAGGAGCCGCGGAATTTAAATGACCACGTCAAAGCCTTAAAGGAAAACGGGATTTTTATGTATAAACATGCAACACTGTTTGTTGCAAAAGAAGTGTAATTAACATAGGAATTAAAATACATAACAGCTTGCCCCCTGAATTAAAAAGAATGAATAATAGAAAATTTTAAAGTTTTTAAAAATAAATTTAGACATTATTTATTACACAACTGTTTCTATTCTCTGCAGGAGTTTTTTTACTAACAATGATGGATGGTTGTTTGGTGGCTCGGGTTGGTTCTGATGTGGTGTGGATGTATATAGATGCTATAAGTGTATGTGTTGCTTTATATTCGATTGTTGGAGGATATCATCCTCGGCTGCTAGCTTCAGCGGGGGGACAATGATCCTAAGATGGTTGCATTATTCTCAGTCTCATGTATCATTCTATACATTTTTAAGAGTTCTTGAGTTGTAGTGTTTTAGATGGCTTAAACTGACTTGTCCAATTATACTTGTTAAGAGTTTATGGATGCAAATAAATTATGAATTATGTTAAATGAGAGGAGTGTATGAAGTATGTCATTCAGACAGGCTCAGGTGGCATAATATACATACCAAATTCACAAAGATTACTTTCAGCATTCAAGTAATATTAAAGAAATTACTGCAAAAATCTGAGAGGTTTCAATGTTGGTATTACTGATGGATGGCATTTATAAAGCATGCCGTTGAGATGGCTTCCTGTGGAATTATATATTTACCAAGTTTTATGAAAATTGGTATAGGCATTCAAGCAATATTAAGATTTCACCTCAGCAATTTGAGAGGCTGTAATGTTGGTATTACTAATGTGAGGCATTTCAGAAGTATGCTATTGAGATGGGCTCAAGTGCCATGATATACATAACAAATTTCATAAAGATTGTTTTAGGAATTCAAAAGTTGTTGGGGGGGGGGATACACACACACACACAGATAACATGGTGATCTCAAAAGTTTTTAAAAAATAAACGTATTTATTTACAGTTAATTTAATGATGCCATCAGCAGCTGCCAAGACTGTACAGCATCCAAAGGTAGGATGAATATTGAATAATGAATTGGAAATGATGTGGAGAAAAGTGCTTGTGGTCTAACCTGTGGTACTGACCCAGGATTTACCTGGAAGGAGTGAGGACGAACCTCAGTGTAATTCATATCCTTGCTGACATTTGATCTCAGAACCTTCTGAATACAAGTCTACAGCATTACCACTATGCCAACCTGCTCGGATGTCTACCACGTTAACATATGTGTAGTTGAGCTATATTTTGACCCATTAACAAACCCACAACTACTATTGAGGAATATGTGAAAGAAGGCTTCCATTGTCCGTTCAGATAGTTCATGTAGATACAATGCACAGAACATTGAGGATTTGAAAGTCAGCCACAAGTATAACTCTATAGATCTGGCAAACTGGGAACTGGTATAATGAGCATGAGCCACAGTGCATCACCATCAGAAGTCTTGCTTGACCATGTTTTTAAGTGGCAGAGTCAACTCAATATGGTTTCTGCTGACACCTTTTGGAAATGAATGGATGAATGAATTATAGCAACTGAAATGCATCTCCCTTGTCTTATTTTCTTGCCTCAACAACCATTATAAAAAAGTCACAGAAGTTAATCATAAGATTCCTTGGGTTCCTGGTTAATAAACATGTCCCTAACAATTGTACAAAAGATCTAAGAACTTATTTAGTATGAACATGCAACTCTTTTTATTTGTGAGGGTTCCATTCCTGAAAATTGTATAAATTGGGAAACACATTTCATAAACAGTGAGCACAGTTGAAGATTAGGAAACAACATGATTGAGTCAAATTGGTGGGATGAGTCATGAAGACTGCATGCACAACTAACTGGGTATGTGCACAGCCTCTATCATGGCTGCTAATTGGATGACACTCCTCATAATNTGTTCACGAAAATCAGCCATTGCAAAAACGACAATCACACAAAACAGTTGTCACTATAACCGAAACTAGTCCTTACCTTCTGAAGCAACTGTAGTCGGCTTATTGACTCAGGAATGTTAGCTCTATGTGCTCATAGCGGCAAAACACGGTACTACAAAAGCTCTGCCCACAAAAAAATTAGTTCGGTTTCTTTTGGGTACCCCAGCGTATNATGCAACTCTTTTTATTTGTGAGGGTTCCATTCCTGAAAATTGTATAAATTGGGAAACACATTTCATAAACAGTGAGCACAGTTGAAGATTAGGAAACAACATGATTGAGTCAAATTGGTGGGATGAGTCATGAAGACTGCATGCACAACTAACTGGGTATGTGCACAGCCTCTATCATGGCTGCTAATTGGATGACACTCCTCATAATACTGAAACAAAACGGTGGATGTGCAAGAAGGCAGATAACAGAAGTGCATACAATGAGAGTCAACTGTATATCTTACCTGAAATGCTGATAAGTTTCTGTATCATCATACTCCAGCATAAGATCAGTGTCATATTCATCTATCATCGACTGATCGATACCAAAATGGGAATAAAAGTTAGGAATCAACAAAACTCTGCTAATGCCTGGTCTTGGGTGATTACTGAAAGAATAAAACATCGGAATCCTCAGAAATTAATTTTCCTCTGACTTAGCACATTTCATAAGAATATGCAGTAATGAAGATATAGCAGTGCCTTACCGAGAACAACGATCACCAAACCTACAGGCTCCTGTTTTGGAGAAGAAAGGACAAACAGGTTTATCTGGGTGAGTCTCAGTTGAAATGTTCACTGAAGGTGGCAATTCGCCTCCCTGAAAATAAAACAAAAAGAAACTTCCATGAATATCACAACTATAAATCAAAGAATAGCAATTATTCAAGAGTGAGAACTGGACATATATATATCAGGCATCCAGATGAAAGGTATTCAAAATAAAAGAAATTATCTCTCAGAAAGTAACTGTCACACACGTATCCGGTTTATGTCATCGGAAAGGAAAACCCTGTAAGTTTTTCTTTCCAAGCCCGGCTTATGCACATGAACCGCCACATTTCTGCCACCATGTTAGGAATCACTTGGACAGAGTGATGGCTGGGAGATACATCGGCAGAAGTGGATCAATCACTTGGCCCCCCCTAAGTTGCCAGATTTAACCCCAGTGAATTTTCTTCTTGTGGGGTTATGTGATATCAACGACCTGCAACACCTGAAAGCCCGCATAAGGGACGCTGTGGCTATGGTAACACCAAACATGCTGGATTGTCTGGATATATGTCGTGCCACCAAGGGAGCCCATGCTGAAATTTATTGAGAAAGTTATATACTCAGAAAAAACTTTGACAGTTTCCCTATGTAGTGGTGTAACCCATAAATGTGTATATTAAAAGCTTTCTGAGATATAATTATTTTGGATACCTTTCATCCGGACACTCTGTACATGGCATGAATTATAAAGATACATAACTCCTCAGCCTCTGAATTAAGTTAATGAAATTCTATTCCAACACATTTCTAACACAATTAAAAAGCTTACGTTCCAGACTTATGCTGGGCAGTGCCCCCCTACCATAATAAAAGTCTAAAAAATGGCAAAGTGAACCAACCTCGGTTTCACTTGTAATGTGCAAATGGTCTTGGTTTTTGAGTATACCATCTATCTGAATCTCACAGCCTGAGTTCATGCAAAATGGCATCATTCTAATCCACTTGAGGAACTCAGTGATTCTGGGGAAAGCTTTCAGGTGACTGAAATGAACCTTCACACAAAACAGACTGGGAAAACAAAATAGAAACCACCTTTGCTTGTGATGGTAGTGACTCTAGTGGCTTCTCACTCACTCACGCATGAAGCTGAGCCCTTCTTGAGAAGCCACCAATTGTGCAGCCACTCAAGAACTTTCCAGCATTTCATGGAACCGGCAGGTTCATTACTGTGTTCACAAGAGCCCTCCACTGGTCCCTATCCTCAGCCAGATCAATCCAATCCATACCCTCCCATCTTACCTCTCTAAGATTCGTTTTAATATTTTCCACCCCCTTACATCTTGGTCTCTCCTTCTGGCTTTCCCATCACTATCCTATATGCATTCCTCTTCTCTCCCATTCGTGCTACATGCCCTTCCCATCTCGTAGTAGCCACCAGTACCACAAAATATGGATAACCAAGTCCCAGTCTATTTTGTGCCATTATAACCCTGTGCATGTTTTGCCCCAGACTCTGCTGACTGCCGGTAACAAGAGTTTCTCTTTTTTGCATCAGAAACTACTTACATGTTTTATGAAGTCATCAATCTGCCGCATAAGTTCTTCCTGAAAACAGAAATAAACCCAATGTGTTAATCATTCAGCCGAGGAAATATAAATGTGACTTTGCATTCCACATGCACAATGTCAACTGAACACAAAGTCAGATCTCCAGGGGCAACAAGATGCTCCAATTTAATATTATAGAAATATAAATGGCCTTACATCACCTCAATTGCAAATTGATGTAGACAGAGGGAAATGAATTAGAAAAAAGGGTACTCACTCATTAATGAAAGCTAATGACATCAAAATTCACTGCCATCTTGTTTCCCATACGAGTTCATGCACTTACACATACTGAACTGGCTTCTGTGACAATGTAGTGTATGAGCCCACCCACATACAAAACGCATTTAACTTCTTGGATATAACGCTGTGTAGTCCGCTGAAAGTCAACCGACATTGTGGAGGAACATATAGCCTCCATATTCAGGGTTGAAGAAAAGCTGATTTTAATGCAATTACTTTGGGCCAATCTGTTCAGTTCATGATGAGCAAGGGTTAAAAGAAACCGGTCCTACACAAATAAATGCAATTACATAATAGTACCACATTAATTTCCAAATACTTAATGATATATGAAATAAATGGAATGGGTGTGGCTATACGTGTGTCCCAGGAGGAGATGTCAATATTCTGGGAGGTCACAGCATGGGTCATTCTAAGCAAAGAAGTGCATACGTAAATGTGTCCCATTCTGAATGGTTTCTGAGATAGAGCTATTTCACTGTACTGTACACTGTACAGATGACCAACACTCCTTTCCTCAAACGGATTGCAAAGTGCACTGATGTTGACAGTGGAATTTTTGAAAATTTATTACACTAGGTAAACTGTGCCAACTTTGTCCTTGAACAACAAAGATGAGTATTAGAAAGAGTACGCAATATCTTTCTTACCAACAATTTGGAACTGTACAGTGAAATAGCTCTATCTTGGAGACCGTTGAGAATAGGACACATGTACATATACACTTTTTTGTTTGTTCAGAATAACCGATCCTATGACCTGTCAGAATACTGACCTTTCCTCCTGGGACACCTTGAATAATCTCAATATTGAAAGTGTAATTAAGTAATATAACTCTGTAGAAGCGAATTCCAGCACAATGAAAACATGAATATTAACTACTATTCCAAATAAGAACACCCTAAACTGAGGTAGAAATTCTGGAAGCTTCAAAATTGCTTATGCTGAACACAGGTTATCTCCTAAATCAAACTTCGCTATACTTGTATACTGTATGGGAAAATATTACACTGCTTATATTGAGGTTTCGGATGAAACCAAAACAAACATTAACTAAATGAGAGAATTCACCATAGTAAGAAGTACAGATGCCGGTCACGGTAGCTGAGCGGTCTAAGGCATGCACTGTCTTCGCTCGCTCGGAAGCCGGGATCATGGGTTCGAATCCCACTCAGGGCATGGATCTTTGTGTGCATTTTTCTGTGTTTGTGTACAGGTAGAGGCCATGAGACGAGCTGGTCAACTGCCCAAGGAGTCCTACTGTATGTCTAATATCTAGAAAAACCGAAGTGAACGGAGAAGTTCATGGAGGTAGGCCTAGGCCCACTGGGGCTGTAGTGCCAAGGAGGGGGGAAAAAAAAAGAAGTACAGATTATCAGTACATTCTTATACATATTTAGGACAAGTATACAATTCAGTATTACCGAGTTTCTGGACTTCATTTGTTGTCTGTTATTCTTAAGGGAACACATTTCAGAAAATAGATTGTTTTTCTGGCCTCAAGTAAAATGGTGAGGGAACCTTCCCAGCTGGGTTAATGAAAAGAGCCAATTCGAATCACTCAGTCATGCCCATTTACTGGATAAGAAGGTAAAGCTAAAGAAGATGAATGGGGGAGTGGGTGTAAAGATCCACAGTTACTTAACCTTGGCACTAGCTGGAGGTGAGTGGTCAGCTACATGCCCCAGCTGTTTTACGCCCAGTACCCAATTCACACGAGGCTGGGTGGACACCCGAGCCAGTATGGACAATGCTGAGAAAAGGGAATGCTTAACCCTTTGAGGAGTTGAACTCCAACTTCTTGGTCGTCCAGCCCATAACCAACTGCACTAACGGAGCTGACACATTTCCTGCGACCAGCTCATTTAATGAACGCAACTGACTAGTTTCCTCTCCACTTTTCACCTGGAGATGCAGCAGGTCCAGTTTCTAAAATGTTGCATGTGGTTCAGAATACCAGAATCTGAGCAGTACCAAATGTAACATATCACTGTCAGAATCCCTCCCGCAGAAATGACTAATATTGGAACGTTTCCATACAAGCAATGCCCCAGAAAACAAGAAGCTGCTAACTACCGGACATAATGACTTGATGACATTATACAGAATGTCCCAGGAGGAATGTGTCAGACTTCGGGAGGGTGTTCTTTATGTTAACGTATGCCGATATAACCCAAAACATCTATGTCCAAAGTTGAACGGTTACGGAGATAATGGCCCGAGAAGAGTGTGGTCTTCTGGCAGGTTCAGGCACTGTACCTGTCAGCTGACAAGTCTTATCGATGTTTGTCCTTGAGTGTGGTGATGACGGCTCACACAAGCCACATACACTCGCATACCAGAATGCGCAGTCAGCCATGTTACGTCAGTGCTTGCCATTCATGTGTCATGTATAGTGCTTGGAACCCTAATGACAACTATGACATGGCGTGCGAGTATATTTGTAGTTCAATTTAGTGGCTTCATGTCACTCACAAGTTAGTTTGATGTCACATACATTATTAACATTACAAAAACCACATATTCCTGCCAGTTTTAATATGTATTTGGTAATCAACAAGTGTGTAACACCTGTCAAAGTTTCACACTTCTCTGGCCATTATCTCCGTAACCGTTCAACTTTGGACATAGGTGTTTTGAGTTATATCGGCATACTTTAACATAAGGAACACCCTCCTGGGCACTCTGTATATGTATATATATACATATATATGTATGAGTGACTATAAAGGGGTTTGAGTTGTTAATTGGATTTACTGTACTCTTAAACATGCAATTTGTGACTACACTTTACACACAGACTAGTGTTCTCATTCACAGTCTTCATGGTGCTGCTTGGTAGCAACTTCCAATGGCAGACATTCCCTTTCCTTCTCCAACTCTCAACTGACCGACTGCTTGCAGGCTCTCTCTTGACCCATTCATAATGGCAGATGGTCCACGTTATATAGCCTCAGCACTGACCGCACAGAAAACACCGCTTCTGACATTTCTTCTATTGTTGCATACACGTCTGATGTGGAAATCATGTGACAGCTAATGAGCCGTTGCAGAGCAACTGTCGTGTTTACAGAGCTGTTCCCTAGCAACGGCTGTCTCTGCTGGCTTCATGATTCTGGCTTTCAGCAGACATGCCACAATATTATGTTTATCATAAATGCTAACACTCAGTATACAGTTTCACTACAGAAGTTCTGACATGTGTGCATGCACACATGTAATTACTGTGTATATTTAAACCTTTAGAGTCACTATAATAAGAATATATTACAATTCTCTCCAAACAAATGCCAAGATAGTACCTCGATTAGGACATAACTGCATCCTTCATAATCCTTTCCAATTTGTTAGTTATCAATCATCCTACCACTGGACAATCTAAGAGAGGTAAAGGTGTTCCTGTGTTTAACTAATTAAGCACTACGCCACGAAGGCGTATGGGGGAGTGGATATACAGATCAACATTCTCTTCACCTCAGCACTAGCTGGAGGTGGTCAGCTTCACATTCCTGCCGCTTCACTCCCTGGGAAAGGATCCCCAGTACACATTTCATAGAAGGTTGGGTGGACCCCAGAGCCAGTCTGGGCAATGTGGATAAGAGAAAATTGTTGACCCTACCGGAACTCGAATACTGACCCCTCAGTCATCCAGCCCATAGCCAGTCACTATACTCACTACACTATCCTGGCTCCTACAGGACACTCTATAGTCTAGATAATGAAAGTTTTGTAAAATAGTCTCCCGCCAACATAATAATCTATTATGATATTTCTGTTTTTGTTTCAACTACTATAAACATGGATTTTTGCTGCATGGTTTTATAAAACCCTTTACACGATAAAGGTGGGCTGAGTCGACCCCAGGGCTATGATGCGGCTGGAAGGATTAGGTTAATTGAAAAATTCACCACATCAGGATTCAAACCCGTGACCTTCCGGTTTGTAGCATAGTGCCTCAACCAACCATGCTACCACGTGCCCATGAGAAGATACAGCTTCACATATTATTAACATCAGGAACAGATATAAGTGAGTATTAATTCATGGCCTGGGTGCTTTACCCCCAGAGAAAAAGCCCCCAGTTCCAACTGGATAGGAAGCTGAGGGGGCCCCAGAGCCGGTCTGGACGTTGTGAAGAAGTAAAAAATCTCCCGCCCTAAATGGAAATCCTGATCTCTTGGCTGTCCAGCCTGTCACTACAGAAAATGAGATACCCAGGCTTTAAGAAATCTTGTTATCCTCAATTTTGTCAATTATGGATTTTGGTGAACATCGTACCTTTGACATTGCATAGTCAGAGCTGTTGACAGTGTCATTAATGAAACCACATATAAATACATAAATGGACATCATACCTGCTTCTTCAGCTTCTCAGCTTCCTTTTGGTTTTCCTCCTCCTCAGCCTCCTTTTGTCTCCTCTGTTCCAATTCCCATTCTTCACGAATTTTTAACTGTAATTCGAAAAGATTATGCTTCAAAATTCTCACAAGATCATAAAATAAAGTCTACAATGCAACTGTTAACGAGTACAAGAGTTAAAAGATTTGATGATTTAACTGCATAACATAAGATGTTTTAACATGACAGCAGGGATTACTGGCAGTAAAAAACACAGAGTGCAGACTCCAAGGTCATAAAATAAAAATTCACAGCTTCACTTCATCATCGTTCAAGTCGCCGATGCCGCCGCCCCCTGCATTCAGTTATTAGGTAGAAAAACTTCAGCTCTATCTCTTCCTCAGTTTGCTTACCTCTTTCCTCAAAGTTGAAGATCAAAATCCATATCTGAACAAAGCAATTGGTGACTTGTGAAGAAAGACTTGGCTCCATGGAGTAAGTGACTTAGTTGTTTTTTTGGTTGGTTAGTTTTTTGTTTTTATTGCTAGTGGGGTGGGACTGAGTCCCTTGTATTGCAGCCACTTCTGGCCTGTCATACCAGCCCCATATGATAGGTGAGGGTGATTGTAGAGCAACTGGTGGAATGAAGATCGGTAGGGGAAACCGAAGCACTCGGAGGAAACCTGCCCAAGCGCCACTTTGTCCACCACAAATCCCACTTGACCAGACCCAGGATCGAACCCGGGCCGCTGCGGTGGGAAGCCAGTGACTAACCACTTAAGCTATGGTGCGGCCTTGGTTAATTAGTTGCATAGTTATTCAGAGATCACAATTCATTCTCTTAAAATATTTTTTCCAGTTTTCTTTAAATGTCGTTAATTTACCGTGGATTTCAAATATCTGCATTTCTTAATCTAATTACTTCATTTGAAGTTCCATTCCCTCTTGTATGTGCATTCACACCAGGAAGGAATTTTGAGTCTGTGGATGTAATTTTGATTTCAAATTTTTATATCAAAATCCATGACTCTGAACCATGTAACAAAACAGGAACCACTAAGACTCATAAAAGTTCGAGGTGAGCTCCCCTTCAGGTACAAACTTTTCTCACCCCTAAAGTCAGACTATGTAATCACGTCTCTGATACTGAATGTATGTGTATATAAGAGCACGCCTCTACAGTGACTTGCAGAATACTGCACATTGCACATCATTCCGTATCCCTTTCAGACTCTGAACCCACAAATGGGCTAACCAGAATAGGAGAGAGGAACAGATGAAGATAAGAGGGAAGCAGGAGAAAAATAAGAAGAAAATAAGCGGACAAAGAAAGAAAGAAAATATGAAGAAGAGGGAGGACAAACTGAAGGAAAAGGAGAATAAGAGAAGTGAGAAGGATGAGATCAGTGGTGGAGAATAAGGGAACCTGAAGAAACAGAAAGGAAGGGGAATGTGGAGAAAAATGGAAAGCAGAAAGATGATGAAAAAAGAGGAGGGGGAGGAGAAAATTAAAGAGAAAGGAAGAAATGCCTGAGAAGAACGAAACAATCTAATGTGGCAGTAATGCTCTAGACATTTATTTCGGGGATGCTTGGTTCAGATCTCATGTGAGCCACTGTCATCTCCTCCATCCACAGGATTTCTTCCCTTGGCCTCAGTATAGTGATGAACGCTTTGAACTGGATGACATAGGCCTTGGGGGTTCAAGGACCACACAACAGTAGGCAGAGAGGGAGAAGTCTCAAGTGTAGACATCTCCAGCATCCATATGACTTCTTTCTGTGGTCTCTTAGTCATGTGCTGACAATAAACAATAAATTTGCAATACATGACACATTATTTTTTGACAGTAGTATGCTCTGGGATGTGACACTGTGTAGTCCAATAGAAGTTCACTGATGTTTCAAAAGTCTGCTTGTTGGCTTGCTGATATTCTGCTTGGCTTACTCTTCGATCCTCATAATGGAGGTAGCACATTCGTCTCAAATATTTGTAAACTTCTACTGGACAACATTATTTCACATTCCAGAAGACAATATCTGTTCACAGTCACTATTCTTTCTGATCTACCTCTTGTCTAGCTTTCTCCTCTTTAGCCCGTGCAAGCCTCTCTTCACGTTCTTTCCATTGCTGCTGGGCCAATTCCTCATCACGCTCCCACTGACGGTGTCTCTCCATCTGTAATCGAGATTCTTCTTCAAGCCGAAATTCTTCCAACACATTCTGCTCAGTGAGCCAGGCTTGGTATCGAGGAGACTTCTCCCTTTCTTCTTGTTCTTTAACAGCAAAATAAAATATGAAAATATACAAAGAGATTGCTAAAATCTTCAGTCACTCAGTGTAACGCTAAGTAGCCCAGTAGATGTTCACCGATGCAACAGAAGAACCATGTTCTCTACGGCTTATTCTGCGTGCTGCTTGCATTCTGCAGGTGGCTTTCTTTGTTCATTCTTCAACAATGAAGATGGAGGCAGTAGAGTTCTTCCAAATGTTGGTGAACCTCTACTGGACTACATGGCATTACATCCCATAAAAGAATACTCTTCATAGTATAGTTAAGGCTGTGAGAATCCCAAATCCAGTACTGAATCTCTCATATCAGACTTGCTAACCTCTACCATATACAGCAGGCAACACAATCTTATTGAAAACTCTGCTGGATTTGAGGTTATCACAGCAGTGGTTATGAAGAGTTCTATCTTCCAGGGTAGAACACCGTGTAGCCCACTGAAAGTCAACTGACATTTTGGAGGAATCTGTCGCCACCATCTTCATGGTCAAAGAATAAGCTGACTAAGAAACCAGTGTGAAAGCAGGTGGCTTGTTTCTTTCTCAGCTTATTTTAGAACGTGAAGATGGAGGCGACATGTTCCTCCAAAATATCAGTCAACTTTGAATGGACTACATGGCGTTATATCCCAGAAGAGAACTCTTCTCATTCAAAACTTATCAACTTACTGGCACTAAAGAAATCCACTGCTGTTTTAATTGGGCTTAACCCAGAAAGGGCTCAGAACTAGTGTACTATACCATGCTGAATTCAAGAACAGCCAACATACAAACCTACAGCCAGAAGCAAGCAAAGGGACTCATATGAGGACCCTCTGCTAAAAGAGCGAAGGAACTGTTGAAGTTAGGAACCAGCTAAGATGGGTGGTAGGACTACTTACAGGATAACTGTCACCTCGAAGGACACCTCTTCACTCTGGGAGTAAGTAATAGTCCAACTTGTGAGAGGTGTCAAGAAGAAAATGAAACAGCCACACATATCCTGTGCGAATGTGAGGCCTTAGCTTATTCAAGATTATGTCACTTGGGTCAATACTTTATGGAACCAAGTGATTATTTCGACACCCCCCGTGTACAAAATCCTGCACTTCATTTGAAGCGCAGGATTGCTGAGGGGATAATCAAAAGGGGAAGCACAATAGATCACTGAAGGTCGCGGTGCAAAGGCCGAGAAGGCCCACCCCTTATACGTTCATTCATACAGCCAGAAGAAGGTAAAAATGCATAATGGGGAACTTAGTAATTTATGCTTTCTGTTGGACATTATTAGATTGAAGAATCTTCTGGGATGTAACATCACGTGTTCTGGCAGAAGTTTATTGCCATTTGATGAGGCATTTACTCTCTCATCCCACTATATTGCTCCCAAACACTGGTACACTTCTACGAGGCCATACAGCATCACATTCCATAAGACAGCAATCGCCACCACCACAAATCCAAGTACCACACCGTTATTATAATTATCTAGTGAAGGAGGATAAGATGCATGTAGAATGCATGGGAGGGAAGATAAATGCATGCCAACTTTTCACAGAAAAATTTTAAGGAAAGAGACTGCTTAAAACACTTAGGCATACATTGGATGATAACATTAAATGGATCTTAAAGTTGTATGATGTGAGGGTGTGGACTGGATTCATCTATCTCAGGATAGGGACCAGTGGCAGGCTACTGAGAACATGGTAACAGATATTCAGTTTCATAAAACAGAGGAAATTTCTTGACTAGCCAATCAACAATTAGCATCTCAAAGAGCACTCTATTCCAAAGTGTCAATCAGCCAGTGAATACGATGGTACTTATATATGGTAACGTGTCTGCTAACTATGGATGCCGTTCGGATTGTTAACTGGTTTTATTAACAACCTACAAGTCGTAACTACAATTAATTATAACACTGTTGCCGGTTTACACAATTTACAAACCCTACACACCGATCTCTTCACACTATCTTCGGTAGTCTTCACTTATTTACAGTATAACACGGGAGCTATACAAGTGTCACTGAATTACACACTCCCAATACCCAGTGCCTTCTCAGTTATCACCATATCACTGATAGTCACACATGAAGTATTCTAATCACGTGTTCAGTTCTTCTTCCTCCCGTGGCTTCTTCGACTGACTGACTTCTGTTCTGCCGAATACTCATACTGGCTCCTTAGTCAAAGTCACATTGCAACTGACAGTCAGTCAGTCAGTCAGTCACTCTTGGTGTCGAGCCCAATCTGGGGCTCAAGACCAGATATTTATTACTGTTTGACAGTTTAGGTCTTGTTATTGTAGGGCACCCTCTGACGAGAGGACTGGTCTGTCTTTTGTCAGAGTCACTGTCTGCAGTAGTAAGTCATTTGTCATACTGTAAAGGATATTTACATTTTACATGTTAAACATAATAACAAATGTATTAAATATATACAGGACCTCTGCCAGTCCAGGCTCAATACAGAAGATTATGCTCTATTTCTAGTAGCTTCCGCTACAACAGCAGTCTAGTCACTTGAACGGTTGTATGTTTGACCGATGGCTCCTTAGTCAAAGTCAAAGTCATATTGCGACTGACAGTCAGTCAGTCAGTCAGTAAGACTTGGTGTCGAGCCCCATCTGGGCTCATGACCAGATATTAATTATTACCGTTTGACAGTTTCGGTCTTGTTTCTATGGGGCGCCCTCTGACAAGGACAGGTCTGTCTTTTGTATATGCTGCTGGCCGTTGCCAATGCTGTCTTTCTCGGGTTCGAGTCCCTTGGGACTCGCGACTGTCTCAGGTTTGAGACTTCCCTTTTTGTCGCCTCCTACGACTCACAAAGTCACAGTGGAGGTATTCAACCCCATGTCCACACGGGGTTGACTCCTTAGTTATTCCAGTTTTTCTCATAAACCCTCAATCGGACAGGCAGAAAACGCAGCTTACTTCACTGTGCGTGACGCCGTGTTTACAGAGGCCGAGAGTTATTTACTACTGCGTATCAATCAGCGCTCGTTGGCTCGACTGGGCTCAGTTCAGCTCAGCACAGAGAAACACCGCTTTCCTTACTGTTGCGTAACCTCGTTCTACTGTTGTGTAACTTGGCAACTGACCGTTTATCAAGAGTCTGTCTTCGTGGTAACTTGTTCCACATCCCATTGCTCAACAACGGCTTGACATGTCACACTGCTCCCTCCTTAAGGCTGTTCGTCCCAAATAGCATAACAGTGCTTCACCGTTCTTTTCCTTCCGAGGCTGTACTTCCAATGTCTTATTTTTCTCTGGCTCGGTGTTCTTTTATATTCCCGTTGTCCGTTCTCCAACCACTACATGTGTCCTCTTCTTATGCTTGCTCGTCCCGAGCAGTTCCATGATAAGGCACGAGTGGGTCCAGGTGTACTACCAACATCCTCGACCTACGGTTCTTCTGGATTCTGTATACCATGTCATTTATACAAGTGACTACTTTGTAAGGACCTTCCCACGAGGATTGAAGTTTCGGTGACTTCCTTTTCCTGCAGGATGGGCGATAGAGTCAAACTCTGTTGCCCTTGTGGTAACCTGCGGAGTTGGCCAGTTTATCGTACGTAGTTTTCATCCGGTCACTGAAGAGCTTCAGGTGTTGTCGGGCATAACTGTGGATGTCGTGTAGGTGATCCACTAACTCTGTTGCATAATCGGTTGCAGGAAAGTCGGAGTTCTCGTCTGAACACTAGGCTAATGGGAGGTGAAGCCCGTAGTGTCGTTAGTGGATACCCCGTAAGCTGAAGAGGGGTAACCTCTCATCCCAGTCCCTCTGGTAGGATGCGACGACCTTCTGCAAGTGCTCCTCGATGGTCTTAAAGTAGCGCTCCACCATGCCGTCCGACTGTGGTTACAGAGGCGTGGTACACATCTTGTTCACTCCCAGGTGTTGCAAAACTTCATGTAGCAGATGAGACTCGAAATCACAGCCTTGGTCACTAGGTAACTCCTGAGGTATGCCAAAGCAGCATTAGTTGGCAACCAGAACTTCCGCTACTGCTGACGTCTTCTGATTGGGAATGGCATACACATCTGGCAACTTGGTAAAGTAATCCATAGCGATCAGTAGGTATCGGTTTCCTTGGTCGCTTCGGGGGAAGGAACAATTGGTGGAATTAAGAATAGCAGGGGAAACCGAAGTACTCAAAGAAAACCTGCCCCAGCGCCATTTTCTTCACCATAAATCCCACTTGACCAGACCCGGGATCAAACCCGGGCCGCCGCAGTGGGAAGCCAGCGACTAACCGCTTCAGCTATGGCGCGGCCCGCTGTCGCAAGAATAACTTTGATAAGATGTGGGTTCCTTTTACTTAAAAAAATATTGTTTATAATTCTGGTAAAATGGATCAACTATGGGTATCTCACTGGTCACTGGCGATCCCAGTTATCAAAATAGCAAAGCAGCAGCTACTACATCACAAACACAAATATCATATGCCAGCAAAAAAGTGTAAACAGATTGAGTTTTAAAGCTCAACCACATACTGTTTCTAGGTTCTGCTGCATGCCAAAGCATCTTCTTACTCAGCATTACAGAACTCCTTACCCTCATTGCAGACCTCTTTGTCTTCGTCTTCCAATACTGTTTAATAACTCAAAATTGCATCGTGCTGATAATACAAGTATTATATCTTGCCACCCATTACCTTTCTGAAGTAATTCATCTCTCCTTTGTGCCAGTGCCCGCCTAATTCTTTTCCTTCTCATCTTCTTTGCTAATGCACGCCACTTCTTGTGCCTACAAAAGAACGTTAAACTTAACATAATATAACCTCAAATCATTCGAACAATAGTACGGACGTTTACTTTCCGATTACGGTGCATGGACACACAAATACGATTAAAAATATATATATACGTGTATGCAAATTCTTGTTGTGTATTTCATTCAGAATTCATAACTGAAATTAAAGTAACCATAATTGCGTGCGTATTACCTTCCCATAGCGAACAAATGTTGGAGTCTCCATTCCTTTCACCAAGACAGAAACAAATTTCTATGCCATTTGACCATAATCTCTTGACAGTTACAATCACATAAAACAGTATACACTGTGTTATCTATGACTACAAACGTGTACGAATATTAGTCACACTGTCTTCTGGGTCTTCAGCCGTCTTCAAATATCCCTGCACGAATATGATTTTGCCGCTTTGGAACATGCTGCCATCTAACCCCAAATAGCAGAAATTTAGGTTCTCAGTGGCGCGGAGGTATGTGTTCATTGCATGTTGCAGTGTATTTAAGTAAACTATGATAGTTGGCACTAACTATGCCGACAAGCGGCGGTCGCTCGGTCGGTATAGTTCGCTTGCAGACTACAGGCCACGGAGTTTGAGTTTGATGATGACTATGATGGCGGGAAGCGTTGTGTGAAAACATGGGAAAAAACAGTAATACAAGAATTATTGGAAAAAATGTATGATTGGTGCCCTGCAAGACAGAACATGTTCCAAAGTACATATTTGAAAAGACAAAAACATCATTGAGGTAAGTCATGACCATACATACTGTAGGCAACATTAAGGAAGAAACGTCATATATACTCATATGCACGGTGAAATCACGAGTATGACTATTTTGGTTCCCATTTTATGCTGAAATATACAAACTAGTTAACTTTGTAATTGTGACATGATGTTCAGTATGTGATGCACCCTCAAAGATATTTTAGACAGTTTAATTATGTTTTATGTAGAGATATTCCATGGTTTGTGTCACCTCTGAAAGAAAATTTGCACTGCTGTAGGAACATCCCCTGTGAACATGCTCAGTTGTGCCTCATTCGAGTATTTCTTTGATTCTGCATGGCTACAGATGGTGCTTGCACTTATATGCATTGAGTGTTTATCCAGTTATTAAATATGCTGTTTTGTTTCATATTTTTTATTCTTGGCAAGGGAAAGAGATTTTCTCTTCTTCACATTGTCTACCTTGGCTCTGGGGCCCAGCCAGCCTGCTCTCCAATGGGTACTAGGGCCTCTGTCCCAGGGGGTAAAGCGGCAGGGGCATGAAGTTGACCACCTACTTCCATCTAATGCTGAGGTCAATAATGGTGGAGCTATACCTCCGCTCTTCCATATATCCTCATGGCATAGTGCTAAATTTCTTAATTAAGTGCAGGGAAAACTTTACATTTTCTTTACCTTTGTTTCATATATTACAAGTTACTGCACCTTGAAACAAGGGAGTTCTTTTTTTATAACTGTACTTTAACGCACAATAAGCATTGTTGTTAAGAGAAATGATATGGCATTTGACTTTAATGTTTAATGTCCGAAGTGCATGTATCAGTACACTGAAAGGCACAGTCACCATGGCCAAAGCACACATATTCCTGCATTTAAACGTCGCTACTACAAATGTGTGCATGCCGCTAGTAGAAGTTTACCTCCTTGTTTTTGTTATCTCCTTGATGTACATATAGGCTGCGCCCCCAGCATATAACTGAATCACACCTTTGTGTGGTACTCCTTGAAGCACACAAGAATGCACAATCCCACATCACGTATCTTGCGCTTCAGCTCTGTTCAGTTTCATTGCCATTGTATGATGAAGTGAAACTTCAGTGTTCAAATTCACCATGAACTCACAGAAAACTGAATGCACTCTGTATCTCAGGTACAATGCAAGCGTTTGGTTGTGCTCATAAAAAGGACACTATTTTCGTGCAAATGCAGTGGAAGGGTTTGGCACTGATATATGAATTTTCTCTCTAGTCTCACTGTAATTCCCATACTTCTATGCTTCCAACCCTCTAGTCAGCAGAGTCCAATATCTGAAGAGTGTAGCAAAAATGTGAACATTGCAAACAGAAAAGTAACAAGGTTTTTAGAGATTCCAGATGTTTTACGACACCAGAGACAGTTGAAGTATGTCAGTTGTTACAAGAAGGAATGATTTTATAATGCAGAACCGTTCTGCGAAGAAGTGAGAAACTCTTTGTACAGTGTGCATGAAAAGAAGAGAACAGAAAGATGAAGGAGTATAACTTTTTTTGGCTAAATATTTCCAAATCTCACATTATAATATGCGACATTACTTTCTTTGTTGATTAAAATGGGTTTAAATCCATGCCTTTATCATGAAAATTGTATTAGGTACAGCATTTTAATAAAGTGCTTACAATCATTTAAAACACAAAGGAAACATGATCACAAGGGGGAGGAATAGTTCATTATGAGAATTATGCTGGGCACCTGTACTGTACAGACACCATTTTCTAATTACAGATGTTAACATGCATTTACTTTTGAAGGTACCCTGGCTGGATAAAGTCACCTGAACTGCAACAGTTGACTGCGTCTGAACCGTTGTCTCTTGAGGAAGAGTATGAAATGCAGAGCAGTTGGTTGATGGATGAAGACAGTGAGTTAATCACATAAGCCTCTTTTACATACTAAGGCATCAGGTTAGCTGTTCACAAGTTTTTGGGAAATCATTCCACAGTAACAGAGGACTCCTTATGTTGAAGTCATTTATGGCATAGTATGAGGACCTAAACCACAAGACAAGTTTCCTTAAAGTTTAGTATAGGAGATGTTCACTAAACACTGCTGGAGAGTTCGAGCTTTCAGTTACTTTCACTCCATGATGTAGCCTGGTTTGCAGAAGAACATAAGTGGGCTTTTCATGTGATTTGATAACTTCATACAGAAGATTTTCAGTAAATGTAATTAAGCAATTCCAATTTTCAGCCCATAATAAAGCCTGTTTATTTATTATTGTAAATAGACTTTTCTATGTATCCCATAAGCCATTGCAAGTTCTTCTGAAATTAATTTGGGGAGACTTTCGCTAAAAGTTGTAATGTGCTTCTGATTTTCCTCTGTATTAATTAATAACGACCGGTTTACTTGCAGTCATAAATGGACTGCTGACATATCCTATAAACCCTTACAGAGATTTTGTTTCATCTGAGATGGGAAATTTTGACTAAAATGCATTTCATTACTCTTATTCTTAAGTAAGCTTAATTTACTGTGAAAGACATTGTTGGTAATAGTGTCATGATTAAGGGGTGTGCTTGACTTATAGACAGGGTTTTGGATTGGATGATTGGATTTATTGTCACCATATTCACACAATTTGGGACTGCAGGCAGTACAGCACTATCACCGAGCTACACAATTTACAGTTCACCATTACACATGCACTAGGGTTCAGTCTTCACTAGCTGTATCCTGAGAGTGGATTTCATAACAGTCTCACAGTCATTTCAAATCACACATGAACTCTTCTCTTCACAGCCTAATTCCCTTCTTTCCATTTCTTCTCAATCATCTTTGACTGTCTAATCTCACAGTTCTATCTCCAGCTGCTCCCAAGCTCATATCCTGGCAGGCATGTTTACAGTGCTGTTACATAGCAACAGAAGTTAGCCTACTGTTGCTTGCATATTCCTTGCTGTGGGAATGTATTTATTGAGTCTTTGTCTAGCAATGAACTTTTATTCTGACTTCACTCTTCCATTTTCCAGGCATGATGTCACAATATTTTGTACTACATTGTACTCTGCAGTTTTGTTTATAAACTTTACATTTTCATATCTAATAAACGATTTTGAGAATATTACGTTGTTCTGGTAATATTATTTGAACTGACATATTTTTATTTCATTGTTTAGCAGAAGCAGTGCAGATAGGATTGTTTGCTAGGGAGTAGTGTATGACATTCAGAATGAAACTCTCACAGCTTGAGATAAAGGTAGCCATTTGATATGCCATGAGTGCACATCATCTTTTACTCTTCTTATAAATGTTTCCAGTCCAGAATACTGCTTATTTATTGCTTAAACCAGTTTATGTTGAAATACTTAATTCCACTTATGATATACCTGGTGCGTTCCGTATACAATGCCTCCTATTTTTTGTGTTAATATGTAACATCTGAGCTGGATGTTGGTGGTGTTGTAGTAAAGGTTGAACCTTCCTGCCAGTGTACTGTTAATTTGGTTGTCGTATGACAGATAGCGACAGCAGAGCAGTCTACCAAAATGGCGTCTGACATAGAAGTGGGTATGAAAGAGAAATGTGTTATTGAATTTCTCACTGCCGAATAAATTGTACCCATTGACATCCATCAACACTTGCTAAAGGTGTATGGAGACAATACAGTGGATGTCAGCACAGTGATTTGGTGGGTAGTGCATTTCAACAGTGGTGAAAGTGAAGTGCACGACAAGCCACGCCATGGGCGTCCCTGCTCAGCTGCCACTCCTCACAATGAACAGCACCTCATCCGAACAGATCAGCAGATAACGACCAGGGACTGTCAGTTCTGAATGCTACA